TCTTACAGTGTTTTGTTAAATATATATGTTTCAATTTGATTTGGCAATGAAGGAGTGTTCTTTTTCTACCTAGGATGTAAAACTATTATAGAGAGTCTCGTACACGTAGACGATGAAAGTACTAAGATGGCGATAAAAAACCGACCTAAGCTATCGGACTTTAAGTGGAACTCTTCAACATGGGAATGTCTAATCCATTGCATCACACTTATTAAAAACACTTGCACTGAAATTTTCTGTTATTTGGAAATTTTATTCATTGAGCAACGATGTGTTGAAAACGCCCGAATCCTAGTTTCTTCCAAGCATTGAAAAACTGAAAGATGAAAAGTGGACTAACAGTACAAGGTTCAGCCGACGATAATTCATGCGCATAACTGCATAGTGTAGGTGCAATTTTTATCATTTACCTACAGATTCGTCTCGATTCAAAAGCTAGAATCTGTTAAATACCTTCAATTATACTTCATAATCACAGATTTTTTAAAGTTTTTGACGAGCTTTTGCAAGGGATTCTTGTATTTCAAAATAAAAGCAGACACATCTTTACTTTTTATTGAAAACAGACGAAACGTTTACAATTATTTATTCACCGATCCTGTATTGTCTAATAAAGCACCATTAATTATCCGTATCATTCTTGTAGAATTATGTGAACCAATATTATAAAGACTCTGAAGACGAGAAAATGGCATTTTTTTTAGATTGACTCTTGAAATATTTCATAAGCACTAGAATAAAATCATCAATCTCTTATACTAACAATTCTTGATAACATGCCATCATAGATAACAGTTGCTTTTTTTAAATAGTATGTTGTGTTGTAATAAGATGTTGTTTAAGTAATTTCTTTCTTGTTGTAATGCTGATATGTTGTGTCAGTTATTGGTGTGCGTATAGGTGTAGATCTTTTGTTCACAACCACACAACCGAACATCGTCTATCAATGATCTATCTTACCATTGAAAATCTCGATTGGGTTATGGTAGATTTGTTTCACATGTTTCAGCCAACTACAACTTTACTAAGTATTGTCATGGAAGCTTTTATTTCACATGTTCGTTCGCAACTTCCTTGTGGAACACCAATTTATGTATTTTGATTGAAAGAAGACGACGCACCATTTCATACTTGGTCAATCGATCATCTCATTCGATTGAGTTTTCATACAGTATATGTTTTGAGTCGAGGATGCAATGAAAGTATAATTACCAAAAAAATAAATAAGCCAAATCTAGTCAGGATCATCATGAGAAACATTGGCAAGAAATGCGAGCTTTATCCTCTTTCCCAGAAAACTAGTTTGGCCATTAGTTTTCCTCTAGTTCAAGTAACACATATGAATCTTTCGTCTAGTACTATTCGAGCCTGTGCTCGCAATAAGTCTGAAACACGTGAACAACTTCACTCATATATCCAACTTGACAAAGTTACTACCTACATCATACAATATCGATTATGGAACACAAGAGCCATGATGATATCCACTTTCTATACGTTTCCTAATCAAATTACTGATCTGACGCCTGAACTTCTTTCTTCCATGCCCTCTGCATATTCGGACTCATCAGTAATAGAAAATACATTTATGATTGAACGGATTGGCATCGGACAAGGTTAGAACGGATCTGTGTATCGCCTTTACTATATTCAATACTCACCTGATAATAGAGATTGTTGACCATCATGGATGATATTAAAAATACCTACTGGTAGTCGCTAGAAGATTTCACGTTGTTTATTCTAATTGCATCAATCACATCCTTACATGCCGGGCTTTTCAATCATTCATTGTTACAACAAGAATGGCTCGTAGGAGCGCCGTCATTAAACTCAACACTCACCCATTATCATCATGAAAAATATACTAAGTATGACCGATATAAAATACACAAAATAATTAGAATCGAGCGTGTCACGCAAAGTATATACTTATACCAAAGCACTTGTTACAATATGCCACATCTTTTCAAAAACTTAACTGATGAATGACTACACTTTATCGCATGGTGATTTTTGGATTAATAATATTTTCGTGTGAGGGAATTAATTGATGTTGTTTTTCTTCTACGCCCGATCGACAGTGATAGAGGTCTTTCACTCGAATTGAAACTTCTGGAAATGTATCATCAAATACTGGTAAAATACGGAGTTTCACATTACAAATAAGAAATGTTGAATTCAAAAAAACAATACTGATACTGAAAGATATCGTTACGTATGACAAGACAAGCGACAGAACAACATGTGAATGTGATTTAGGTATTTGCAGACAGTAGAAGAATAATAAATTTCCAGATCGTGTCCTGTATTACGGCGTGTCATTTGATGTATCGTCTTTTGTTAATAATGACCAATTTTCTCTCCGTGTGCGACATCCTAATGTGTTATCTTTCTGTTTTTACTGTTTATTTTTGTACATAGATCACTTACTAAAATGCGTTGATATCAAATAATAGAAACATGTATGATTAAGATCGCATGAGAGTGTATAGTAGTGGTACTGTGAACAAAGATGTTACATGAGATAGAATAAAAGCAAACTAAAATGCTGACTTTTAATCTATGCAAATTATGATTTTATTACGAAATAATCGAATTGATAATTTTGAATGTAATCAAAGAACAAGCATAGTATATGCCGTTAAAATTTCGATCTTTTTGTCTCATAGAACGGTACAGGTGTGCATGTAGGTATTCCGTTCGTTTTCATCCACAGCCTTATACATTTAAGTTATTTATTCTGAAGAACATTCATAATATGAATTAGAATAAGCTGACGCGTCAGAAACAACATATATACGAACATATTTTAGTTTCATCTCCGTACATTAACATTAAATGATCGATATTCATCAACATTACGTGAGACACAAATTTACTGATGAACCACCATAGGTATCAATGATGACAGATAGAAAATTTGATACTTTAACATTTGAGTGACGCGAAGATTCATCAACAAACTAGTCAGTGCAACCACTTCAGAGACCAAAATGTGGAACTCACAAATTCTGACTTTCACAAATTTATGATATATTTTCAGAGAAGTTAAAATAATTTAATTTTAAACATTTCAAATAAAGGAATAAATAACAATTTTAATAATTATTAGAGTTGAGACGTGCGTTCTAAAATTTTATAATATCGAACATGTTTGCATTTCCAATTACAACCCCATCGATTTATCAGATTGATTTAAAATTGTTATACTCAAACTGCTAATACGATATAGGCAAAGTGGAAGATTTCTAAAAGATCATACTCCTTTTACAACGATAAAGATTGTCAGCAAATGATGCCTTTTTTATTTCTACATATTAAACAGAAGTTTTGGTTTTTTTCATGGGGGCTCTTTTTTACTTTTCTTATTGCTATTCATACGATATTTATTTCCTTTGTTTTTACTAAATTTTGGGTGGGTGTGGGTGTGCGTGTTTGGATCTGTAGGTGTGAATGCATTAATACGAGACTCTCGCACCCACACCCTAATCTTACAAAATATCAAATGAAANGAGTCGAATCGAATCGAGTGAGTACTTAAGTCGAGTCGAGTCGAGTCGAATCAGATTTTTTTGACTCGTTTCGGTCTCTGGTGTGGGTGTGGGTGGGTGTGGGTGTGGGTGTGTGGGTGTGTGGGTGTGTGGGTGTGGGGTGTGGCTGTGGGTGTGGGCGTGGGTGTGGGTATGTATGATAAGAACACCCACACTCTGATTAGCTGAATTCTCATAGTGAAAGAATCTTATTGGTTGAAAGCCCGATATGGAAAACCTCTGATTGACTGACTTTTCAAGCTGAAAAAATCTGACTGGTCAAGAGCTCAATATCGAAGACACCTAAGCATTCATCTGTAAGTGGATGTTCTTTTAACCCTGGCGTTCTTTTGGCCTTGCCGCAAACCAACAAACAAACGCATTTTAGTTTTTTCTGTATGACCTTCCCTTCAGTCGAGGGAAGGATAACAAAAATAATATGAGGTTTCGAAATTTTATGTGTTATACGAAATCTCAGTGATGAATCTATCAAAACAATCATACAATTATTTAATAGTATATCTGATCGACTTCAAAATTGTGACAAATCATTAAGACTTACTGATTAAGAAAAAAGTCAAATTATACAATTGTGCGAAATAACTGTATTTGGCTCAGAATAGTATAGTAGCGATCGAAATATATCATTTTGAAGTCTATCGAATAAAATATAAAATTGGCAGAACGATACAGAATATCATATTCCAATCATCTATACGCTTCATTCACTAAGATGACTTTATCAAGACAAAGACTTAAGGAACATACATCGTTTGTCAATGCAAGATCAACAATATATTGTACAAATAGCGACACTAATAGCATCATGTGAATTATGGCTTCAATAATCTGAAACAAATGCTGAAAAATTCCCGGAACAACTTTATCGATTCAAAACTTGATCAATGGTTGAAAGACGTTTTCGAGAAATTTGATGTTCTACTTAATCTATACGAAAACTTCCGAACTAAGCGTCGAGACATACTTGTTAAAGTGCGTCTTGGTAGTTGTAATTCCAAAAACATAAACAATATAGTACATGATGAAAAATATTTATCCTTGATGAAATCTAGCATTGACGAATTTGATAAGGAAGTGCAAAAATATTGACGAAAATAAAATTCATCAAAGAATTAAGGAATAATAAAATTACTTATAACAATATTTTCTTTACTCTTCAAAATCAGAAAAGCCTTCAACGCAGCTGTCTTGGTACTAAAATATGGAACTCACAAATTGAATATAAACTAAGATAGATATACTACGTAATGGAAAATCTCTGTAAGATTTATAGAATTATAATATCTTGTTCAACTCTTTATACCTTATAATGATTAAAGATCATTTTCACGTTCGTCTCAAAATGCCGAATTTTATTTATATGAATAAATGCAGAGAAAGAGAAAGTTTCTCAGAAGTATCGTTCACATCTTTGGTTTTGTTTTTTCATTTGGAGTGTACCAATAATCAATAGTACTCTTCTGGTTTTGATATCAAAATAAATTCGTGATGCTTATGATCAGTTACTTCTTTACACGTTTCACATAAGTCATAATCGGGACATTCTTGACATTTGTAACGTAATCCTACTAAAGGTGCTCTTTTACATCCATCACATTGCACATATTTCCATATAAAATTTTTTTCCTCTGTAGCTGTAGATGGATGAAATACTCGATTTCCATTACACCATATTTCAATTGCATTCAGCTTCATAGAATTAATGACTTCGATACCATTTTTTGATAACACTTCACCAGTTAATGTTTTTAAAATAAATAATATCGGTTTCGCTTTGATGAATAAATAGGTACCAAGATATTCTTCAATAGCTTTTTTCCATTCCCGTTGTTTGTCAGTTTTATATTCTACAGCTGTCCAAGGCATTATTTTGAAAACATTTTTAAATTCTTCTTCATCTTCTTGATAGGACATAAATATAATTTCAAATGGTATCTTTTTCTCACCTTCATTAGTTAGTATTTCTCGATAAACTTCAATTAAATGTTGATTAGACTGCAGATGAGTTAAAACAATTGAACATGGACAAAAATAGAGACCGACTGCAGTTGTTCCTTTTAAAAGATCATCTATTGGAATTCGATAGTAATCAGTAATTTCACTTTGATTATCTTTGTTCTTTATTAGGTATTGTATTTCTTCGCCTAGCAGTTCTTTTATCGTATAATGTTGGTTTGGAATCAATTTGATTTGACTATAAATAAAGACATCGTATAAATATTTTATATAACTGATCTGAACAAAGAATCTGCTGAGAAAAGCGTATGAAGTGATTAATCGTTTTTGAATTTGCAGTCTATTGATAAGGTAGACTCGAATCATGTATGGAACATGTCAGAAGGATAAACACTCATAGGCCTTCTATTATACAATTTCACTCTCAATCAAAACATGTGCTAATCAATCGAATGACAATGTCAAGATTTCAGAATTCATCGGTTGATGAGCATACTCGTACCTAGAATGGTCTTATACTTTTATCCAACAAAAACGTTTCTCTGGCGAAATATTGAATTTTCGAAAATCAATCACATTATATGAAAGATTAAACAATCTTATCATTTTTTGGAAATTTAATATCTCATGAAGAAAACTGTTTTCGTAGTTAAAATTTTCAGAGTATTCTAGTTACAAATATATTTATCTTATGATGAACTTTCAAGCCTAAACACTGCTTTTCAATTGGTTAAGATAAATCTTGACTTGAGGGTGAAATTTTAACAAAAATGGCTGAACTCCTCTAGAGGAGACCCATGACACATACCCTTTTGATATGTTTCATACATGATTAGAATCTATTTTATGAAGAGAATGCAAATTCAAAAACTCATAGTCACTTGACACGGTTTTTTCACAAATTCTGGAAGTTCCAGCTAATTCAATGGTGATCGATATGAGTGTGACACAGTTGTTGTTAGATAACTCGAATACATTTACCTTATTCTTTTTTCAGTAATTTTTATATGTTCAGAATATGTTTGAATATTTTCATGAGTATTTGGTAATGATTTTGATCCAATATCCAGTGCTTTTTCAAAATTTTGTAGCGCTGTTTTATAGTCACCTTTACCAAGATAAAAGCCTCCTATATTATTGTATGTTGCAGCAATTCTGAAATGATTTGATGGTAGAATTCTCAATTGGATTTCAAGCGTACACTGCAGCTCATCTAATGCCTTATCAAAATCTCCATTATCATCAAATATTTCACCCATATCTGTATGTAGTGTTGCACATAATAAAAGACTTGGCAATGTTAGATTATTATGACAAATTTCAAAAGCTTTTGTAAAATATTCCAATGCTGTTTTATTGTCGTCGTTTTCATAATATAATGAACCCATATTATGATATAAATTCGCAAACAGAAGATCGTTTTCTGATACTTTTTGCATTTTATACGTTTCATACGATTTTCTATAATATTTCAATGCTTTTTTATTATCACCCATATCGCTGTATAATATTCCCATATTATTTAATATTATTGGACGTCCACAATGGCCTTTTGGTAATTCATTAAGCATCATTTGATAATATCGTTCCGCTTTTACATAATCTCCCATTTGGCCTAATAGTAAGCCTAATGTACCAATATTTGATATACTTGTAGTTGAATTCGTTTTCAAATAATTAAATAGCATGTCTATTTCTTTATTTACCACTGCTTCGTTTAATATCAACTTAACTTGCCAAACAATACCATTTTCAACTAATTGTTCAACTGACTGAATCTTGAATATGCTTCCCAATGATAATAGTATTTCTTCTTCTCCCATGCCAAAACTACTCATATAAGTTATATCAGCGAATGGTTTAGTTTTAGTAGAAATACTTTTTTTAATCGTAATTTCAAACAATACGGATTCAAACAACGGTCTATCAGAACCATTACCAGCATACATCAAAGCTAAATCTTTTTTTCGAGTTGTTGATAAATATGTGTTCATTGAAATTAGACCATTAATATTTTGTTGAATCTTTTCTAATTCGTCACAACCTATAGTTTGTCCACGATAGACAATCAAGGTTTCTTCTAATGATGAAATATTTTCGTTGTATAACTGTTTCAACTGTGTACAAAGATCTGTTATAAAAAAGCGGTATTTAAAAATAACGTCAATATTTTGCATACGTAACGCTTTATTCAACTGTTTATATAAAAAACAGTCACGTGTGTACCACCAAATAGCAAAGTCGGCTTCATATTCTCTTTCAAACTCGTCAATCATCTGTAACTGGTATTTACTGTTGGCATAATGTTGTTTACAATCCCTTAACATCATTATTTTTCCATAATTCGTTTGTGGTATTTGAGTCAACACATCTATAAGCAATTGAGTCCACATGAAAATACAATATTCCTTGTTTAAAGCGCGAACCGACTTTTCATTAATTATGCTAATTGGTATCAAATTTTTCAAATGAAGCTTAATGTCTTTTTTTAATTTTTCAATGAGATCATTTTTATCTGAGAATACTCCACGAAGTTTTAAAATATCTTTTAGCTGATTTGTGCCACTAAAATTAGAATTCGAATATAAAATATAAATAAATATAATCTGTTTGAAGTTAACGATTCGTGGGATAAATGTTTCGAAAATTGAACCAGAAACTATTAGAAAAACATTTTCATTTGCGATGATACCTTGAATACATTCATTTTCATCATTGTATATTTCTAAATAGTTATTACATTGACGTAAACGAGTTTTTGTTTCCAAATAATCATCTATATTCTCATGAACCCGATCAACATCAAGCCATGTAATAGTTAGATCTTCGAGATTTTGTACCGACGAAGCCATCGACTATTAAAATGAATCTTTTGAATCTGCTTTAGAATGATATATTCTTATCTACGTTCTCTATCGAATATTATTCACTAAAACAAATGAAATGCACCTTAATAAATATTTACAAAATATTATTTTATTCTGTGCAAAAGACTACCTGTTATCCGCTGTCTCACATTTTTTTTATTTTGCGTTTAAATGTAACACTCGGGAGTGCTTACATGATAATATAAGAAAAATTAATGTACTTAAGCACTAAGCAACAACATAAGCGTAGCGAGTTTTACCGCTGCCACCAATATCTTTATATCCAGTGTTAACTCAGCTGGTATGGGGTTTAAGAGAGTAAATACAGAAACAGAAAAAGGAACAAGACGAGAAAAAAGAAAAGAATGAATAAAAGGGAAGAGTTAAAAAGGAAAAAGAGCCGATAAAAAGGAGTGAAGCAAGAGAGGAGGAGAAGAGAGGAGAAACGAAAGCACAGGAGTGTATACGCTTGCATTTCAAGGCCAAAAAAAAAGAAAGTATGTCCTATTCTACAGTAGTATACCATTAGCTCATTTCAATAAATGATATCCATTTTAAGAGAAGTGACTCATGCTTTTCTATCAATCCTTTTACCCGATTCGTACGGAAGAACTGGCCAAGATGATCCTTCTTTCTTTTATGAAATTCATCCCAATTAAAAATATTACTATAAAAGAGTGAACGACCAAGATCCGTTGTGCCCATGCTTTTTAGTCTTCTTTTCTTTTTTCTCGTCTTGTTCCTTTTTCTGTTTCTGTATTTACTCTCTTAAACCCCATACCAGCTGAGTTAACACTGGATATAAAGATATTGGTGGCAGCGGTAAAACTCGCTACGCTTATGTTGTTGCTTAGTGCTTAAGTACATTAATTTTTNGTATTGATTCTATTCCTTCGTTTTAAGTTAGCATAATTAGAAAAGGATATTGATACATATTGAAAGAATACTAAATATAATATTTAATTCTCTAATAAAGTTTGAAAATAACTGCTTTATAATTACATTGAAAATTTATCGTGACTGGTCGCGACCAGGTTTTGGTCACGATCATGTCACGGTCACGGTCACGACTTTTTTTCGAAAAATGGTCATGATCGTGACTCACGGCAGTCTCGGTGGTCACGCCGATGTCTAGTCGCATCTCCCGCTTGAGATGCAGCATCTTCAACGGGAGAAGTTGTCATGTACCACTGGAGAAGTATTATCTCCTTTAGAGATACACATCCCCCGCACCCACACTCACATCTCTCGTAATGGATATCACATCTCCTTGGGGAGAGATGGTGGCATCTCCAAATTTCTGAATATGTGACACTGCTGTCAGAGTCACGGAAGAATTAATCATTTCGAAATGCGCTTTAACAAAAGAAGAAATTGAAAATTGGCTTAAAGATGGAAAAATTAATTTTCCAGAAAAGTTTTTTAAAGCTAAATTATTACAATTGGTGTGTGGAAATTGTCCACCGCAAGAATACATTGTAAGCTAGTTTTTTTCAGAGTTGTTGTGAGTTTTTCGAAGTCTGCTTTCCCTCTTTGTCTCGCTGGCCCGAGTGATCGTATTGCAAAGAAGTGTGCCATAGAAATCTGTCGTCTTCCTAAACAAAACTATAGCCTCAATCCAATTGAATTGTCATTAGAATAATCTCCAACAATTTGTTCGTGACAAAAACACAACATTTCGTCAGAATGACGTAAAACATTTCATTGAGCAGTTTATGGTGGCGATGGACGACAAACGTGCAAGTTCCTATTTTCAACATGTTCGTGGAATAGAAGAAACATTTAAAACAGCAGATGCAATAATGAAGAAGAAATCGAACCACATATACAATCTGACAGTGAAGAAACAAACTCTCATGACGATCAGGAAGAAGTAGCATAGCAACTTTTTTGTATTCGTAAACTTTTTGATTCCGTTAATTTTGTAAATGAGCAACGAAAGCTCATTTATGATAATAGACGGATAGAAAACAGAAACGAAATGTGATCAAGCTAACTGTAAGATAAACACATTTTCTTTCTCGAGGAAGTTTGACAATGAGCATTCTTATGTGTTTATGCTCATAATTCAACGAAAAATTACAATTCAATGTCAAAATAAACCCTTTCAAGTTGATCAGCATAGTCAAAAACCTATTCAGCAAAAAGCGTCTTACGCGTATTCGTTCTCTTAAAATATTCTCAGCATCTCGGGGAACCGAAATCTCAAAATTGCTACGACTCCATTGTGAAAAGAGCGCGTCGGGACACAAATCTAGTGAAAAAAAATTCTTATGAAAAAGTCACTAATTTGCCCTTAATTTCCTCTAGTAAAATTGGCCTGGAAAAGTTCTTTCGAAAAACATTTTCACATATCGTCATGTGTCCTGAACTGTCCTCTACTGAATGGTAAAAACTACAGGTGATAATGACTTTCCGTTCAAAAGTTATAATTTTTCTTTCCGACTGCCTTCTGTTAAAATTGCGACAGTAGCAACTTTTTTTTTAAGGGAAGAATCATTAATTTTCAAAAAACTTTTTCTTAATGCACTAACATCAATTAAATTTGATTTAAGAAAACAAAATCAAATATCGAAAATAGATAAATCTGTTTATGAGAACCAAGATAGTTTTCTTGCCAAAACTCAGCGTGTAAAAAGTCACTTCTTATATATAAAGGTGATGATGTGAATCTGTGATGTTGTTGACGATGTAGATGAATTTGATGGTCTTCTATGAATTCAAAGCTTCTCCATCACCTTCTCATTCACATACTCCACCGCCAGCAATCTCATTCTCGATCCCGCACAGAACATTGCCGTTCTAGTCTTCAATCGCATGCTTTTTTACATTTATCAGAGTTTTTTTTCGACGAAAATGTGTTTCAATTTCAACTAGAAATTGCATTAACGGAGCACAGTTTCAAGTAATAAACATCGCGGCTTCACAGAGTATGTTCTCCTCCGACAAAAGTCTCTTTATGTGTGATGCATTTAGATGTACACCCTGTTAATTATGCTTTATAGTAGTGAAAAAAAAATTTTTGTAAAGAAAAACTGAAAGTTTTCTTCACAGTTCGTTGTACAGTACAACTAAAATATTCTTGACACATATTTTGTAATAAAAAAATACAACTTTCATCTATTATTGGATCCTTTGCATTTTTTGTTGTGGATTGTCCGACAACGAACTAACATACCGCTGAGACGACGGAAACAAGATATTGCTTATGTTGAGTTTAGATATCATGATGTACGTATGCACTAAAAATATCAATAAGCTGCTCAATCTGAAAAAGTCGGTTGTTAGACAGAAGAGATGCTATTAATTTTTCTTTACTTTCGTTTATACAAGAGTAATCTTTGAATGTGTCGAAGGCGTTGTGAATTTGAGTCACCAAATTATTGACTATATATTTGAATCTTCCTGTTAAAGTTGAATATACTTTCAAAATATTGATAAAATAATCTTCTTCTTTTTCAAAGTATATGCCTGCTGATGTTCTGTATTGATCGCTATATCTTAAGCAAATACGAAAACAACTGTTGATATATTTCTTTCTAATAGAAAGCCGTTTGATATCGAAAAAATATGGTTATCACCTTAAATTTGATGTAGTCAACCTGTAAATATAGAATGCAGAATCATAAGTCATTAGTTAATAAAAATTTAAAAAGAAATCAGAAAATGATGTAATTCATAGAACTGCAATGAAATATTTCTTGCTAAAATTTTTAACGATCATCCTTCAATATTATTAATATACAGTATATAATAAACATCCTTTTCCTTACCAAAGTTTATGCTCACTAATATTAATCATGCTTATTATATTCTGCAAAACTAAGGGTCTGTTTATCACTAATTTTTTCACTTATTCAATGCTCAGAACAAAAACTGCGTACGGCACTTATTTTTATCCTCTGATGTATTATTATTAGCTTATAAAATTTGTTAACTATTTCATTCTATTAATAATATCGATATCATATTATCCAATGATGCATAGTGTGACAGTTGCTGTAACTTAAGTTAACAACAATAGATTTTTTGATTTTTTAAGAAAACAAAACATTGAATCAGAATTAGTTGAAACTTTTCATGTAATGCCTTTTCTATTTTGCCGTTCTGTTTTATCATACTAAAATCTCTTCTATTTTATAATTTTATCATCAGGCTTACTAAAAAAAATTAAACAAACGTAAGAAAAAAATTTAAATAATCGATGAATATAAGAGTAATTTACAATCGTCTTTTTAAATTAAACAATAAGTCTTATTACTTGCATAAAAAAAGTGTATTAATTCATATTGCTTTTTTTCTTTCTTGGTAGAAGTAAATAATATATTTTTATTTGCTGACGTTGTTTTTAAAGAATTGCTAAGAAGAAAACAATCCATGGTAAGAAAGAAATCGTAAAAGGATGAAGGTAGTATGAATTTCTATTGCTTAATCTATCTAATCAACAATGAACTGAAAAAGAACTTGGGACAACACTGTAGAAGTATCAGAACAGCAAGCATTATGAGAGAACATTGATAGGCATCAAGTTCACATTATGGCATATTAGGATATTTAAATTTCAGTAGTATTTTTTGCAAGACGAATGTCATTGTGATTTTTTTCATCAATAAAGAACATACATATACACAGTTGGTAACAACTATCACGTGAAATATCACTATAAAATTGAAATCTTCTCGAAGCATCTATTGCATATGTGCTTGGATGCGATAGCCACACTACTCAATTATGAAGCGAAACATGAAGATTGTTTTCCATGAAATAACTTATAATGCCTTGAACTTTTGCTGGTAATGGGTGAAGGCAGATTAAATGATTGCGCTTTCCATTTTATTTTTTCATTGTCTAACACTTTTTATTGAAAAAAACTATACCACAAGATGCAGCGTAAAATGTACTGCCATTTACATTAGCCTACTTAGCCTACAGTTACATATTTTGCTTTCGAAATGGGCAACTTTTGGAGCGACCAAATTTTGACCGTCCGAAAATTGGTCACACAGAATTTTGCTTTTTCTTGGAAAAAATTACAATATGCTTTACTGTGTAAATTGTAGAGCCTTTTACGGTGCATCTTCTGATATATTTTACTTTTTAAAGAAAACATATTAGGTGATAAAAGATGAAATAAAAAAAATGAATTCTTCCTGTGTCAAAAACAAAAAAATATCTTTTTCGGACGGTCGAAATTGGATCGCTCAAGATTTTGCCCATTTCGAAAGTAAAATATGCAACTATAGATTGAGTGGTTTTATGTAAGTGGTATAGCTTTTAAGCTACATCTTGTAGTATATTTTGTTTTTTAATAAAACGTATTAGATGATGAAGAAATAAAATGCAAAAAGCAGTCATTTAATCTGTCCCACCCGTTAACTTTGCTATTCATATTTGGTGAACTATAGTGCTGGTGTTAGATTCAGTGAGAATTGATTGCTGTCAAAATTAAATTTCACAAAAAGGAGATAAGTACATATTCAACATTATTCCATATATATGTTTCAAATCAAAACTTCGCGTTCAATGCTAAATTTATATAATGTTCTATAAAATGAATTTTTTTTATTTATTGCTTTGTGTTTTCTTGTTATAACGAGCATCCATCTTGAAATTTTGCATATGGATTTATCGAAAAATCAACTGCTTTTGTTTACAATGAATTTTTGCAGATAGTATACATAGAGACGTTGCTGACGACTATTGCTAAAGCATCTCAAGGTGATTGAATATTAATCATATTGAAAATTACTCGAAAAGTAATCATCATCTGTACGGTTTCGAATAATAAAATATGCAGATGCTAACAAATATATTCACTTCTTTTCTAAAACAAAATATTCTTATTACTTTCGTCACAAACTTCGACGAAGGAACAATAGCCAACAGAGGTCATCTTTAATACGTGCCTCACAATACAATCATTCTAGTGAACTACAATAGTATTAAAGAACGATCGATACTATTGAGATAAAGACTGCTTTCACAGGTATGGATATTTATATTGTTCATATGGGTGAGATTGTAAAAATCCATAAGCCAGAAAAATTATTGAGTTTCGTCTTCATACTCATATTGCATTTGTATCTGAAACATTGATTTAATAGAGGGACTTGAAAACGCGCTAGTCTTTGAAACCGAATGATCAAGTTGTAGCCTACACTTTTGAATATAAAGAGAAGAAAGCGTCAAAAACACTACCTACAAACTTTAAACAACCCTGGGTGAAAATGGCGGAACGGTCGTCAAAATATATATGTTTCAAAGGACGGAGGACGTTTTAGGTGCATTTCGGCCCAATTAGAAAGTGAAGGTAGATTTACGTGAAACTTCCAGAAAATGCTCAACTATATGTTAGTAGTCATGACTGAAAATTTCAGCTTGATCCGTTGAACTTTTTCTTTACTTCAATCCATAAAGAATATAGACCATAAATATGCGTAGAAATGCCCTATAGAGGTAACCTTGTGGACCTTCGCTCTCCGCTATTTGATTCAGGCTCACAGTGATTTTTCTAGGGTCACCGGGAATTATTGAGCGCTACAATATTGCAACGACATAAGGCACAGAAAAACCTGCCTTGGTATCACTATGAAGTGCACAGCCTCAAAAGTCCATAAAAAGACTCTATAGAGGTTACCTTGTGAACATTCGTTCACCAATATGTGATTTGCACATAGAGTAATTTTTCAGCGTCACTAGAAATCAGTATGGACTACAGTATCGCACACACTAGAGGGTGAGTAAAAGTTGCCGAGGCAACCCGATGATGTACATAGGATTTTTATTAGGAGTAAAAATTATCATAGAGGGAACATTGGATATCTTTGTCCTGCAGTCTTGGAATTAGACTTCGAAATATTTTCTTAGGAGCTGTCTGAATGTTAAGAACGTTCGACACGGTAAATCACTAACTAACAGAACTATGTAGATGTTCACTGTGTAAGGAAGGATGTGTTAAGTTATCATGAAGGTACACTATTATCCATTCCAGAAGTCAAGGCACTCTTTTGCTGTTTTAATAATTTCTGATAGGAACAAGATAGAGACCTGCAGTTTTCATCGTTTGATAGCCAAGACCCAAAGGCATATTTTCCTAAGCAAATCTTCTTTCTGAGAAAAAAATCTGAAGATTGGTTTTTCAGGGGATCTCTTGAAAACCGCACTGAATTTCTGAAAACTGTTATAGAAGTCTGTTAATTTTCTTACATGTTCGGCATCAGCATCAAAAACTAAGTCGACTTATATATGTTTGGAATCTTTTGACAAACTTCTTTTTGTTGAAAAATTTACTCCTGTGCTTCCCTCAGAGGTCCGTGAAAAAAGTGAACTCCATCAGAACGCTGTTCTTGTTGAGTATTCGTTTGCCATTTTCCTTTCTAACAGCATTCTACAAGCTTGTAACCTGCTTTCTACTGTCCAAATGGCATTTTGACGGAATTCACTTCTTGACGGACCCCTGACGGGGGTGTGTGTGTGTGTGGGTGTGGGTAGGTACATCTATAACCACACCCACACACCCACACCCACACCCACACCCACACCCACACCCACACCCACACCCACACCCACACCCACACCCACACCCACACCCTCACACACACACCCACACCCCAAAAAAGCTACTGAGTGCCTTGACCTCCGGAACGGATAATTGTTAGTGTCATCGGATGATTATCAGTCGTAGTAAACTGTACGGGGTTTGAAGTATTGGATTGTCTGATGTGGCATGCGAATTTGGATGTCACTTGATGAATCCACTTTGAATATAATATTTTTGTAAGTGATAATCGTGAGAGTGAGTATGGGTGTTGACTGTGGGGGCTGATGGTGAACGGTGGACGGGGAAAGGGAGTGGGATCGGCATTCAGTGTTTTTGTTGTATGGATGCGAATAGGTCTGGGCCTGGATCTTTTCTGTCACGACAGAAACACCAACTCCACACCCACGCTTCATCGGGACCAACAGCCCACACCCAGAAAAGTCACTCCGCGTTTGAATCAAGTAGTGGAGAACGAAGGCCTACAAGGTTACCTCTGTAGGTTATTTTCACATATATTTAGGGTCTAGGTTTTTATGTTTGGAAGTAAAGGAAAAGTTTAACAAATCAAGCTGAAATTTTGAGTGATGACTACTGACATAAAATTGAGTATTTGCTGAAAGTGTCAGATAAATCTGCCTTCATTTTCTAATTGGGCCAAAATGTACCTAAAACGTCCGCCGTCCTTTATTCATTGAAACGGCCATCCTCATCAATTAAACTGCATGATTTCGAATGAATATCTTATTTATCGCGCTTAATTTGTTGAAGTGGTCGTTTTAGTCAATGAATACGAAATACATCTATTTTTGTCCCTGCATTATTCTCTGAGATGCCAGTTTTTTCGTAATTTTGACACAAAATTCAAGTGAGCAGCAACATTGTTTTCTTTTTCAAATCCATCAGTACTTTTAGAGATAAAAATCATACAGGCAAACGAGTGATACATATTTGTGTTTAAACCTGTTGCCAAGATGAACCATATCAGCTTTTCTCAATTTAAAAAAAGTTTAGTTCTCTTCAAACTTGATGAGACAACTTATCTTTTTCTTTCATTTGATAAGAAAATAACTTGTCTACCGACATTGTTTTACAATGGGCATTCCACTCATGAAAGAATCTATTCATAGGATTTTCTGAGTAGTTGTTGACAGTTGCTTTTAACCGTGTGATATTCTTTAAGACATTTGACTTTGTAGATTCTGATTTACTGATATTAGTAGTGACGATCGATGTACTTGGATTTGTTCATATTCTTTTGTTCTTTGGTTTTAACTGGTGCAAAACATTTCAATGGAGGAACTATCAGATGGGCTCCTATTGATCCTTATGATAATTCTACGTCAATTAATATTACTATTACACAATCTTATTCATGGACATTTCCATATATAAAATGTCTCACCAATGTACCAGCCTCGACTAGTGGATGGAGTACTGCCAATACTAATCTGAGTTGTATAGTTGACTGTACGACTGATGGTGGCTATTCTAGTGCACCAATTGATATTCTCACAGATTGTACATCATCTAGTGCATCATTGAAAATGATGACAAGTGAAAGATCAAAAGATGTTACACTTTCTGCTGATGCACATTTTTATATAGCTTATAGAGGAAATGCTTGGCGAGCATTAAATTCTCCTGTTCAATCAAATCTTGATTGGTCGATTGTAACATTCATTGATCTCCGTAAACGACCAGATGGTTTCATTAATACTCCCCCCGTTGCTACAATTATTTCTCCACAATATGCCAATGTAAATCAAACAATACAAATTAATATTCCTGTTTCAGATGCCAATGTTGGTGATGATGTACGTTGTCGATGGTCAATTTTTACTACTGGATTTCGAAGACGAAAACGTTCCAGCAAAGAAGAACATTTCAAGCAACGATCTGATGTTCACTTTTATAAAGAAGTAGCTGGTGATAGAGAATTTCTTCATATGAGAAAAAAAAGACAAGCTTGTAGTAGTTGCAATAGTGTATGTGCATATGGTTGTGACTGCACCTGTAGTCCTTGTATTTCCACAACATGTATTAATACGAATTGTACTGACATTACAGGTTGTACGGCGACAGTAGGTACGACTACCACCATGACGACAACTTCAACAATTACGGATAATTCAACTGATACCGAAACTCCAGGAACACCAGCATCGACTTCTTCATATCCAATTCGTCAGGCAATCGACGAGTGTGCTGGTATTTGTTACCCAGACAGTTTACCTAAGAGCACAACTCTGTCAGATTGCACTATCACATTCAAAGGTCGTAAAGTTGGTGTCTGGTATGCAGTTGCTATTCAGGTAAGCAGATTTTTATTTATAAATCACAAATTCGTCAACCATGGTTATCACTATATTTATTTTTATTGAGAAATCGTGGCTAATATTAATATAGTTTGATATTTGAACTAATAACAATAAGTATTCAGTTCTTGTTAAACATAGTTTATTGATTAGAAAAGTATGTACAATCATCCATACTAGATAAATCATTTTTATTGAGATAGGTGATTTGTAACTTTTATATCAAACCGTAATCTCTATAAAAAATATATGTGATATTCTCAGTATTGAAAAAAGCCATCAGATAATTTATAGCATCATCTAATATATATGTATGGTATACTATAATTCTTTCTTTTTCCATAGGTTGAAGATTTTATCAGTACAACAAGTACGACACCAATGAGTTCAATACCAGTTCAATTTTTGATTTATGTTCAACCACAACCATCTTGTTTAGACAAACCTATTATTTTCCCTCTAACTCGTTGTTTAGAGGTAAAGGTTGGTGTCGTAATGAAATTTAATCTATCTGTAATGAATTTATGTAATTCAAATGTGGCTACAATTGCTGATATCTTTGTTTCAGTCGCCATTACTGGTATGACTAGTAGTAACCTCATAAGTTCAGCAACAAATTCATCAGTTTCCTATTCCAAATTCACTTGGACGCCACAGATAAGTCAGATTGGATACCAGCAGTTATGTACAATTGCATATACAACGTAAAATTTTTCTTGATTAGCTTTTCATGAATTTAGTACCTTTTTTTTTAATTAGCGAAAACTTACAATCTGACCCATATTGTGTTACATTTACTGTAATAAATTCATCGGCCACTTGTGTAACAACTACAACAGCAACAACATCGACGACAAAAACAACCTCTAGTACCACGACATCTGAAACAACAACAACCACAGCAGAGACGACAACAACAACCACAACGGAGACAACAACAACTACCACAACAGAGACGACAACAACAACCACAACAGAGACGACAACAACAACCACAACGGAGACAACAACAACAACCACAACGGAGACAACAACAACAACCTCTAGTACCACAACATCTGAAACAACAACTACCACAACGGAGACGACAACAACGACCACAACAGACACAACAACAACGACGACAACAGACACAACAACAACAACCACAACAGATACAACAACAACAACCACAACGGAGACGACAGCAACAACCTCTAGTACTACGACATCTGAAACAACTACAACAACGTCGGAGACAACGACTACAACGACAACTTCTTCAACATCAACTTCATCCACATCGACAACATCCACCACAACGTCTACCACGACCTCTGTTACAACTACAACGACAACAACTACAACAACAACAACGACAACGACAACAACAACCACAACGACCACAACAACAACAACCACAACGACAACGACAACAACAACCACAGCAACCACAACAACAGCAACAACAACGACCACTACAACCATGTAAGTAATTAAAAAGAGTCTTTCAATCAAAAGAAGCGTATTCACTGTGACTACATTGTTATCTGTTCTTCTTCAGTTTTTTTGTCATAAATGTACGTTAAGAATTTCTGTGAAGTATTACTCATCAGAAACACCATCGTATAACATTCGATTCTAACAACTTGTTTCTCTTTATTAGACGGAAAAAAGAGGGGCTTCCAAAGACAGAGGAATAGAAATTCCTTCACAGTTCCCATCAGTCCGATGAATGTTAAAATTAAATAACTATAATATCCACAATTTTTTTGCTCTTACACTCATTCTCATGAAGAAATTTGAGGACGGGTATGTGTGAGCGCAAAAACTACTTTCGAACAGGCATTACTTTTAGTTTTCATGAATTGAGGAGCTTTCAGGTAACTAATGGTCTATTCCTATTTCCCCGAGGAAGTATCATAGAGACGCAGTAGTTTCCCTACAGATTAGGGATTCTGATCTCTCAATTCTTGAACATTGCTGAAAAAAAAGAGTGCAATGAAGTGTGTTGTTAACTACATGTAATAATTGTTAGAGTTTATTAAAATGAAAATATAGAAATGAAATCAAGTTTCTCATTGTTTTTGTTTTTGTAGAACTACAGCAACAACAACAACGGCAACAACTTCGGGTGAGATTTTACTACACTCTAGTCTTAATCGATTACTCTCAGAAGTTTTAAGTAAACATCATCAGACTTTCAAAAATTCAGATAGAAACAACTCGAGGATTATTCATCTTGAAAAGAGATGCTTTTGGTCGATATTAAAAGCTCTGCTTCAACTGGTTTAATACTGAGATAAAAGTTCGAAATCATATAGCATTGATAAACTGTTTAGTTTGAAAAATCTCGAGGTTTTCATATATCCTCAAGTTGACTCTCGTGTTCTTCATTTTAATTTAATTCAATTGATTCAGATATAATATTTCTCAATTATACAGGATCCTCTATAAATTGGTTACTGCTTGTGGGGTTATCGTTATTAACTCTAGTGTTAGCTCTATGCTGTTGTTGCTGCTGTTTGTATTGGTTTTTATGGTAAGTATTTTCACTTTGATTTTTGCTATCATACAACTTAACTCGCTCATAGTGTCCACTGAAAAAATTCTAACAAGGGAACATTCCGAGACGTTGGAACGCTTTTCAGTCGTGAGTTGACGCATTTTGTTGACCTTGGTGAGTTATGTCTACCCTTAAAAACGTTCGTGCCCTTGGCTTGTTCTTGAGGAGATCGAGTTTTTTTACTTTTATAGATGTTAGGGTTTTCTTATATGAAAACCATTATCTCAGCTAATATAAGTTCAGACAAATTGAGATTTTTCTCACATTAAAATGTTGTTAAATTGATAACTGTGTTTTCGACATTGTTGGATGTCATACTTTCACATTATGTTACATATAACTACAGCTATACGTGAGAAAAATCTCAATTTGTCTGAACTTATATTAGCTGACAATGGAGGTGTTTGTACTGTCCATCGAAAAAGTGGCACATATTCGGGTCAAATGAAAGCTGTCACCGCCAAACTAGCAAGGTTAAAATATTAGCTGCTAATGGCTTGCCTAGAGGGAAATATTTAACTTTTAAATTTGGGTATAATAATGAATGAGGAAAGGCTTTCTCTACTATTATAAGGACAAAACATAGTGTTGTTCGGGGCGATTAGGGGGTTTGTAGGGACCCTCTTTCATATGGCTCGAATAACAACATGTTCTGTCCTTATAATAGTAGAGTGAATTTTTGTTGTAGCTCACGGAAACAGCTTTTTCTATCAACCACAACAAAAATTCACTCTACTATTATAAGGACAGAGCATGGTTTTGTTCGGGCCATATGAAAGAGGGTCCCTACAAACCGCTAATTGCCCCGAACAACACTATGTTTTGTCCTTATAATAGTAGAGAAAGCCTTTCCTCATTCATTGTTATACCTAAATTTAAAAGTTAAATATTTCCCTCTAGGCAAGCCATTAACAGCTAATATTTTAACCTTGTTAGTTTGGCAGTGAGAGCTTTCATTTGACCCGAATATGTGCCACTTTTTCGATGGACAGTACAAACACCTCCATTGTGAGATAATGGTTTTCATATAAGAAAACCCTAATACTATAAAAGTAAAAACGCTCGATCTCCTCAAAAACAAGCCAAGGGTACGAACGTTTTCAAGGGTAGACATAACTCGCTAAGGTCTACAAAATGGGTCAGCTCCAGACTAAAAAGCGTTCCAACACCTGGGAATGTTCTCTTGTAAGTCAGATTTTTACTAATTGTATGAACAAACAATAGAAATCGATTTAACTTTATATAATGTTAGAGGAAATTAGTAATATTTATCTACAAATAAATTGATTCAGAGTTGATTTTTTCAAACAGGGGCGCTGGTGCGCGACGTCGCCGACGAAAACAAAATAAAGAAGATACCATTGAACGGACTTTTGACTCAAGACTTAAAGTTCATGAATTAGAAAAGAAGACAGCTCCTAGCGAAATGCTCAAACCAAATACATCAACTAAGGACTATCTTACCAGTGATGTAAGGCAGACTGAGAATTACATAAGCAGTACTACTCCAACAGACGTGCGCATAAGCCTGCCTGATTCGAATTTTTCTGAAGCAGTAACCACTATAACATATACAGATGAGCACAGAATTTCATCAACAGTCTCTGTCAAAAGAATTAATCGTGCTTCCATTCCACAACAAAACAACATTAAAGCGTTGAATGAAACTGAAAATGTCAATGTAAAATCTACAAATCATACTGGCAACTCAGAAAATAGTCAAATCATTGGACGTTCGACATTGGCTGTTGTTCGAGTATCAAAATTGGATATAGCAAACCGGAATAATTCAATCACACCTCTGCAAAAGATTTTACCTGCATCATCATCCGAGTCATCGAAACCGAATAAAATAAAGGTCATAAGAATACCACGAAGTCAATCAGTTTCAGATCCACGAACTCGAACAATTAGTGTTGGTAACACAAGCACTATTAATTTTGACAAACATTTTATTGAAATGCAAACAATAAGAGATCATCCAAAGCCTACTTCGGTTGCCACAAATATGAAAGTATATAAAGGCAGTGGAGTGGTCGTAACAAAACTTCCAAGGAAGTCTACCACTTTTCAATTTCATCCTCCATAAATGGATGTAATTATTAATCATTTGACTATTGAAACTTTATTTAGTTTTATACATTTTACTGTAACTAACCCATAACATTTATTCATAATACTGCCTTTTCTTATTCATTTGTAAATAAAAGAATTACTCTTCATATTCTCTTACTTTAAACCTTTGAAGTTAACAATAAAAACCATCTGATCACTTTACTGTTGTCAATTCATATCAACAAGTGCGTAACGAATTCTACTGTAGAAGAGAAGGCATTCAAAACATATCATATAAAATATTGGATCGAAGATATAATTGCAGAACATAATATGAATGCACAAAGCTCATTCAAAGATTCGTATTAGATGTGCTTGTTTTTAGAGTCTATTTATTGAATACAATGAAATAAAGCATTCGATATTTTACTGTTGTATAAAGAAGCATCGATTTTAAAATCATTTAATTTAAGATAATTATAACAAGGATAAGAATTATTTGATTAAAAGGTTGATAACGATATGCCGTGTAGTTCTGACGAATAATATTATTTTATGTGAAGAGACATCGACAGAAAACTAGATAGGAAACGGTTGAGTTTGGACGATGGAGTCATTAGGGTAGCTGGACATCATTTTTGATTTCGTCTGTAATTCTATATTTCGATGTGTAAACGCGATATAATTGAAGAGAAAAACAACTGATTTTATGACATAATTATTTCACTAACTTCATGCGGCTCCACACTCTCAACTGACTCTATGAACTACAGTGGAATAAGTCAAAACCATAGAGTTAATAGAGTTGGTGGAGTTCACATTAGCATGTGTTGTCTTTCTTTTGTATCTCGGCAATACACTGGGAATGTTCACTTAGTATGCCCGACTGATTCTGATTGACTCAAGACTTAAGACAGTCGCTTACGGTTATTTTAACGAGTAACTAACTCCTGTCAAAAAAGTCTTCGTACAAAATATTTGATCAGTTTTCGGTCTTTTGAAAGCAAATATCAAGGGTTAAAACCAGTTAGTAATGTTTGAAATTGTGTACTCTTCTCGAATATGGGTTCAGAAATTGTGTACCTATGTATCTTCGAGTGTCACGAGAGAATCTTTGAAAGATCTGAAAAATTGGATTGTACAGAAAATTTTCCACACATTTTTCACTGTCGAAATCCGAAACTAAAAGTTAAAACTTTTGTTGATATATCGGCTTGTAGAACAAAACTCACGCTGCAAAACGTACCATTTCGCTTAATTTTTGTCTTCAAATAAGCCAGTTAAAATTTCGCTGTTCTATCATCCTCACTTTTAGAGAAATCAATTTTCTGACACAGCCATCTTTTAAGTAGAAAAGCAAATTTTCAAAAACTGCTTTTAGTTGTAAGGTATAGTTTAGTGCGAAGTCATATTTTGTAAAAACAGCGTTCGCTCTACACAATTACTGAGCCAGACAAATTTTAACTTTTTCCCAAAGAGACTCATGAGAACTACGAAGAGTCTGCTGATTCATAATTCAAAAAGAATTTTTGTGCCCTTCACAGATTCCATCACTCCTCTTAAACAAAAATAGACACATCATTTCTGAGTTCATATTCGGAA